TTAGCACTGGAGATACATAAACATTGAGGCAATTTGAGATTTTAAAGATGTTGCTATGATAAACCACTTATGAAGGCCTCTGAACCTTTGGCAATGGTCTTTGCTGTTACAAGAAATTTTGTTTTTATCATCTGCATATAAAATTCCTATGAACATGTTTCCCTTTGACAGCCATCACATGAAGGCTTAGAAACCAGAGTCCTGGGGTCCTTACCATTTTTAGCATGCTAAAAACGTGTGCCTCAGTGGCTTCGATTTCTTCCATTTATTTCAGTGTTAAGATCAGGAAAATGTTGTTGACTGCCAGCTTTTGCCTGTGCATAAAATTGAATGCCTTTGGGCATTCACTTCCACTTAGCGTATCAACATTCTTCCATAACACACAGCTCTAGATGATGTTTTGCCAGTGTTGGTGGCCACTAACCTTCTCCAGGCTGTACAGTGGCTCAGAAATAATCATTACAAGCGTAATCTTTCTTCTCTTGTACCAGGGCTTGCAGTGATAAACAGAGTAAAATGTTGCCTGGAATTTCTCACATCTTTCTACCAAGTGTCCAGGAGCTGTTCACACTGTACATTTGTTACTCCGTCCACACACACAGCAAAGCTCTGCTGGCACACACATATGATAATTAGTGCTCTTATACACTGTATTTCATAAAAGAATTTTGCCAGTAGCCTGTCTGCTTTTCTCTAGGCATGGTGTTTTGTTTTTGTAGTTTTGGGTTTTTTTCCCCCCTAATGCTCTGACTCATTTTATTTAAAAAATAATAGTATGTAATTTGTACTTGCTTTTTCTCTGAGATATGGAACTTTGAATAATCCTTCTTCATCATTAGCGACAATTTTATCAATTCTATACTAGAAAGCATTATTTTGCAATTGTTCTTGGAAAAGAAAGTGACAAAACACCTTAACTTCTGTACCCAAGAGCACATGGCTTTTCTCTGGAAATGTCCTTGAAGGCTTCCATGGCCTCAAGCCACATTTTGTTTTGCCTGTTTTGTTGCCAAATCTGTCTCCTTATACTGAACACATGGTTGTCAGGCTGTCAGAAGACTTGTGTTCTTAGTTGTGCTCTACTACTAAACTAGTTGAGTGACCTTGAGAAAGTCTCCTAACCTCTCTGGGCTTGAGTTCATTTATCTGTAAAAGTTTTATTTAGGTCTATAGACTTTACTGTTTTTTATGACTGAATTTAGTGGGCTTATTGTTTGCTTTAAATGTGATTTCAGTTCCCTTTTTTCATCTAAAACATAATTTTGTAAGTACAGCTATCAATTAGGTTCATTAAAATATAAGATTTTTAGAAAGGAAAAAACATTAAATCTTTTTTGAATAGACCATCCAACAGAAGAGATCGATGAAAGGCAGTGATATTTCTCACTAAATGTTGCCTTTAAGATTGTTAAAATAGAATGTTTTTCTTTGAAACCTTCAAAGAATGCTGTGGCTGTTTTAGCCACATAAGTGTTCCTTGCAACATTATACAAGGCTCCCGAATGTTCAATTGAAAAACCATTTTGAAATGCTGACAAGGGTAACATTGATCATCCTAACTCCTGGCTGTGAGTTATCACCAATCTCTTAAATTTATCATTCACCTGTAATAAGAAAGTATAGTCTGCTCAATATAATACTGGTCCCAATTCTGCACCTTTCAGTTTTGTTAAAACATAAAAAATGTTCTTTCAGTTTCCACAGCTTTTTAAATTTCCTTTCAGCAATATTAATATACTCCCTTTGCTTCATGGTCTCTTCTTTCCCTTTGCTTTCCTATAAATGCTGTAGGGCTATGTGTATGTGTGAGGTGCTTTTGAAGTTAACTGAGAAATTTCAAAGCCATGAACAGGAGGTAGTGACACGAAACTTGTTAAATAAATCTGCCGGAAAACAGAGTAGATGTGATAAGGCTGGGAGAGTTAAATACACACATGACATTTATTTTTGTAGAAATATTCCTGAGAAATCATTCATTCTCACCATTTCATTTTTGGGTTTTCTCATCTTTTAAGATTTTCCTTGGAAGCTTCTAAAATGATTTGTGAATGTAAGAAAGTTTTTAATGACATTTTACAAGCCAACTCATAAACAATTTTAAAACCATTTCATTTTCATATAAAAAAAGGCATGCGCCCAAGTATAGACGGTTGAATAAACTATGGTACCTGCCCACAGCGAAGTGCGGTGCAGCTATGAAAAAAGAATGTGACCAGTCGCTGTGACCTGAGATGGAGCGGTGTCCAGGAGACATCAGGAAGTGAAAACAGCCTGTATAGTATGTTACCTTTAGTTAGAAGAAAGGGAAAATTAAGAAAAAAATCGTAAACACAACTGCTTATTTTTTCAAAGAGAAATCCTGGAGGGATAAACCAGAAAAGAGTGAAGCTGTTCACACACAAGAGGTGGAGCAAGTGGATGGGATGCGCGGAGGAGAAACATGTCTTTGAGCTCCTTTGTGTATTGTTTTAACTTTGGAAGCATGTTAACATTCTACATATTAAAATATAAAATTCAATCTTTAAGAACTGAGAGCAAATTGAAACAAACTCCACTGTATTTCAAATGAATGCCATAACTGCACTGAAAAAAGAAAAAAAGAATGAATCCAAGTAGTTTTTAACTATTTGCCGTATTCGTGGATGGCAGCATAGGGAGGGAAAATTGAGAACAAATCTTGAATTGTATAGGTTTTAATTATAGTAGTGTGGGTGAAACCATTCTGCAATTATAACAGATACAGGATTTAGCACATGAGTAAATGTGTTGACCTTGTTTTAGAGGGGAAATATAAATATGGATGGAAGAAGGCAGTATAAACCCTTTGGGAATGGATGGGAATAAAATGAATCTGCTTGAACTTATGATTTATTAAAATGTATATGTATGCATATATTAAAATGTATATGTATGCATATATGTATATACATTTATACATGTTTATGTATGTATATGTGTGTCCTTTATATAACTGTATCGTGAAGGAATTGGACAACACTGTAATTGTGTGATCAAAATTAACATCACCAATGAGGAAACACACGAATATCATGTGACTCCACATGTGGTATCCTGAGGACACATTATCACCCATGTAGTAGACTGGTAAAAAAATGTGTAACCTGAATCTAATCATGAGAAAACATGAGACAAATCCAAAACGAGGAACTTTCTATTTTAATAAAATGGAGGAGTGGAAAGAGTATGTTCTTTAAAAATGTCAATGTTATAAAAGATAAAGAAATGTTACGGAAAATGTTCCAGGTCAAAGAATACTAAAGAGACATGTCAGCTAAATTTAATATCTGACCCTAGACTGAATCCTATTCTGGATGGGGAAAATTTTTATAAAGTTCATTGCTGGATAAATAGGAAAAATGGCAATATGAATAGAAGATTAGTTACAGTGTTATAAAAATGTTAAATTTACAGAAACTGATAAATGAGCTATTTTTTAATGTAATAGAATGTTCCTATTCTCATGGAAAATATACTACTCTTATGGGAACATATTTAGTACTTAGGGTTAAAAGGCCCTTGAACAATTCAGAAAAAAAATCACGTGTACATGTATATGTATATTTGTATGTATATATCCGTTTCTGCATACACACAGACATATGAGAGAGGAAGCAGATGGAAATGATAAAACAAATGAGGTAGAACATTATAATTAAATCTCAGCAAAGGCTATAAGTATTCTCTGTACTATTTCATTCTTGCAACTTTTCTTTAAGTTTGACATTATTTTTAAGTGAAAATATTTTCAAAAGAATAAATTTTACTCTAAAATAGGCATTTATATGTTAAGCAGTAATAAATAGTAATAACTGATTAAAAAGTAGCTGTTAAACTAGGTTTTAATCATCATTTTCCATTAGTATATACGTTTATTTGTAATTAGGAATAAATTGACTAGTAATGCTAAATCTGCTTGAAAGACAGACACTTTCTGTCTGTAAATTTGCTAATTGGAAATTTACTAATTGCTAATACTAATTCAGCAAGGCTATGAGAAATAAGACCACTATTTTCTTTATTTATTAAAGAAAATAATAATGAATGGGAACAAATTAGGAAGTCTATTATGAAATCGATTCCATTTACAATGGCGATAAGCATTAAAAGGTGCACAGAAATAAGTATAACAAAGCATTTTTGAAGTCTATGAAAATTTAGAAAACCTCTTGGACAGAGAAAATAATTAGATTAAATGGAGAGGGAACTAGTTCCTGAATTGTAAAACTCAATATGATAAAGACTAAGACTGCCCTCCAGATAGAAAGACTCATTATAAACAAATAAGAAAATGTGATATAGGCATATTAGCCAATGAACAGAATAAAAAGGCCAGAAGTAGACCCACAAGTATGTATAACAGAAAAATCTTTTCAGATCAAATGACTATTCCAAAATTTTTGTCGAATACTTTGCTTTCCGTATGAAAGAAATAGACCCCTACCTCACACCATAGAAAAAATCAATTCCAGTTGCATTGTAGATTTAAATGTGAAGAACAAAAGTTTTAAAGGAGCACTAGGAGAATATCTGTGTGACTTCATGTTGCAAGGGATTTCATAGACTAGATGTACAAACTGCACAAGAAATAATTGACATATTTTACAAAGTTAAAAAAACTCCTTTGCAACAAAGGAGGGCCAAGTCACAGACTGGAAATAGATCATCGTTATAACCAACAAATGATTGTCTCCAGAGTATAGGAAGAGCTCCTTCAAATCATTAAGGAAAAATGGGCAAAAGGAATAAATTAGGAGTTCACAGGATATACTGTTTTATAGATGAACTATTTCAAAACACATAAAAATGATCTAACCATCTTTGAAGGCCAAATATTGAGCAGTCTTCTGTCTTTAGCTATATTCATAAACTTCCAAACTGGTACAGTAAGTTCTTGATTGTATGCATGGCCACACCAACTGTTTTAATATCACATTGTGAAGATATTTCAGTGGCTAATGTTATATTATGAAATCTCATAGGATCAGTCCTTTCCGGAGCACGAAAATGGTTTCCAGGTTGGAATGAGATTAGAAGGCATTGACCCCCGACATCCATCTGTATTTTGTGTGCTTTCTGTAGCTGAGGTAAGAGATGGTGTTATTGTCTTGGGCTAATTAATTGCACAGTGATAGAAGAGAATTTTCTAGAGAATAATGAATTTGAGTACTTTACAATATAAACAAGTTCCAGTACATTATAGATTTATTTTAGTCAGTGATGAGTGAAATATGTTTCTTAATGAATTCTTTTTCTTCTGAAGATTAGCTTTCTAATAAATTCTTCATCACTAGCAGTGACTCTTGATTTAACTGGTAAATAGTTTTCACCTGAGGTTGATAACAATCAGTGAATCCCACAGTGTTGCATTTGTCTATTAAAAGAGACATAATTATTCAAGTTTTAGCTGAACTAATGAGAAATGCACATGAAAAATATCCATGCATATGAATGATATATTTACATAAATACATACATTTTATGAAGATTATATAGAGTGAAGAGCCATTGATGAAAGTAAATGGCTTATAAAATGTGATATTTACTAAACATTTTATATTAGGTTGATAAAACACTTGTATGTTTTTAATAACATCAAAGATAGAAACACTATGCACTTAATTTACTGATTGATTATAGTTATTAAACTTATATAGCATGTCTAGAGGTATTTTTCTCAGACTGTTTTATTAATTCCTTTATTGAGTATGGTAGATTTATATGTTAGAGTCGAAATAAGACCATACCTATTTTGGTTTCACTCTATATTTTAGCTTACTTTGTCTTAGGATATGAATTCAAGCCAGACAGTAGGAGATGGGGTTTCTGAAAGGAATATTTGACACTTATTGAAATAATAAACTCATCAATTAATGGACATGTAAATTGACCTCAGATTCCTAGACTTACTACAAGGGTTCCTTTTTTGCAGAAAAAAATTCTAGGTACTTGAAAGACAGTGTATTTTGTCTTATTCACATGTCATCTATAAATTTGTTCTGTTATACAAACACATTTGAATGAGAGGATTGGTTCATATATGTTGATGGCACTGACAGAATATATGAATATTTTGTTAATTTTGTATATACTTTAAATGCATGACACAGCGAACAATTGCAAACATTCCATTTTGCAGGTGTGTGGTTACCGTCTAAGGCTTCATTTTGATGGTTATTTAAGCTGCTACGATTTTTGGACCAATGCTGGTTCCCCTGACATTCATCCTGTAGGATGGTGTGAAAAAACCAAGCATGAATTGCACATCCCTAAGGGTAAGCCAGGATGGAAAGAGAGTCAGTTGTTATTTCAGTTTTACTTTAACAACATTTCATGAAATAATAAAAAGAGAGCCTGGTGTGAATTGATTTCCAAAATGAAAGTTTGATTTACAAAATGCAGTAGGTCTGCAAGAATACCATTCTTAGAAATAAATGTCTTTAAAAGAAAAGCATCAATGACTATTTAAGTCAGATATTCTGATAAGGTACCTAGGGCAGAAATAAAACCTTATGAGAACATTTTATTTTACATAAAATTTATTAAACCTTATGATAAATCAATAAACTAATGTTTAAATCGAAATGAAACATATCAATTGGTGATACTATACATGAAGAAACTTGATTCACTATCATTTGTTTAAATGGAGAATAGGGAACTATGAAAGAGAAAACAATTTCGCTGTTTTCTTTTGATGGGAAATAACATTTTTATCTTTGTTTTTTGTTATGTGCTAGAGGAATCTGAGGCTGGCAAATGTGACTGAAGCCTTTCTTATTTGTTGGGTGCTAGTGAGGTGAGGATTTGACCAGCTGAAATGCCAGTGGACCCGTTTCTTTGCACAGTAAACATCTATATAAGATCTAAGGTCTCCTGCTTAGATATTAGACTATTTGATGATTGTGGACACTTCTGGAGTCGGTATATAGTCATTTTATTCTTAGTAACCACCTCAGGGTATCCTTTGGGATCAGTCCCTGAGATTAATGACAGAGTTCCTTAAGATTGCTGGATTTCATGGAAGTTGATAACAGGCCACAGGCTCATTCATTCAGTAGGTATTTATGGAGTCCTTACTCTGTGCAGACACTGGAGATATAGCACTACATAAAATAAACCGTCTCTGCCTTCATGGGGCTTTCATTCTAGAGGGGAGAAAAATGATGAGCAAAGATAAAAATTGTGTCAGACAGTGGCAGAGTGGGAGGACTGAGAGTGTCACAGGATACTCTTTGACTTAACATGGGGAAGAAAGGCCTGAGAAGGTGACATCTGACATGTGGATGAAATGAGAAAACAATGTGGCTACCTGGATAAGAGTGGTTGTCAAAGAGAAAAACAAGAGTAAATGCCCCGGGGCCAGAGTGTACTTGGTGTAGTTGAGGAATCACAAGGAGATGAATGTGGCTGGAACGAAGAAGCAAGGGCAAGAAGGTAGGGGATGAAGTTGGAGATGTAACCTTGGCCTTGAAGATATGCAAGGTGTTTGACATTTATTTTAAGTGTAACACTCATAAAATATTATTGAGTCCATTTTATTTGGGCCCAGCACCCTGTGAGCCACTTTAGGGCACATGGATGGGAGGATAAGGCATTTTTTTTTAAATGGGAACCTGTAAAGATATGGATCAGAAAGCTGGAGGTACCAAATAGTCTCTGGATTGTGAAAGTGTTTCTATAATTTACACCAAGTGTCTGGCACCCTGGATTGTTTCATCTCTAATGGTCTTGGTGACATGGGCCTCTTCAGGAGTGATGACAACCTCAGGAACTTTTGTCTCTTCTCTTTGCCCATTTGGGAAAGTCTTATTGGGAGACGAGACACCCATCAAGCCACCATGGTACCAATTCCATATTCTAATCAATTTAAAAAGTTTGTGGGGCATGAAATGCATGGTGAGAAATCACACTCAACAATTTTGAATTTCACACATTAAAAAACATTGAAAGATCTAGAGATTTTAATTTAAATCTTTCATGGTCTCCTAAAGGACATTGAATTTATGGCAGAAGATTGAATAAGAATTGTGTATTTGATATGCACATAGTTATATCATGTGGGTATCTTGAGTAATCCATTTTTTTCTTAGGTTATAGAAAAGATAAATTTGTTTGGATGGATTATTTGAAGGCCTGCAAATTGCAAAATGCTCCCAAGAAATTATTCAGAAACAGAAGTTCTGTAAGTATTTTCTGCCTCAGTATAAATTAGATTTTTTTCCTGGAGCTTAAATTTTTAAAATATGAAATTTTATCTTTTGAGAATCTTTTGCTTCTTATTGATTTTTCTCACTTAATTTGTCAGTTTCCTATGGGTATATCTTTTTTACCCTTTTAAACATATAATTAAATATTTTCATTAGATGGAGAGAGTTGAAAGCTTTATATTTAAAGTCTGCTAAAGTTTAAAATGCCTTTTAGGTTTTTTTTTTTGTTTTTTTTTGTTTGTTTGTTTGTTTTTTCCAGTGCTTCCAGTTAGGTAGTCATTTAAACTTAGTTTTGGTGTTTTGAGACCAGTAGATAATCCCAGGTAGACTTTGAATGTACTCAGCCTAGTTGGATATATGTGTAATGAGAATGAAGGTGACATTTCATACAGACTCAAGGAGTGTATGAAGATTTGGGTAGAGTGCACTTATGCTACCTGTGCACCCAGCAAACTAACAAGTCATTAGGAGAGAGTGAAGATAAGTTGTAGCTCTAAGTCCCTCTCTGGGCCCAGCAGTGAGGCCACAATCAGGAGAAGGGGTTAGGAAGCCTAGGGTCAGAGGTCAGTCCTGCCATCTGTGGGCTGTGTCCCTGTGTAGGACACTCACCCAGCTTCTCCAAGCTTCAGTGTCTTGATCTTGAAATCTATGTTATACAACTTCTTGATGTGATTCATAGAATTGCATCAAGGAAACAAATGTGAAATTGCTTTTAAAAATGTAATGTGCTAAAGGAAAACAGAAATCAGGGTTTCATGTTAATCGTAGAGAAAAAAACCTCTTCTAGTCCCCAGATATATTGTATGGATACTTCCTGAATCCCAGGACTAGCTAATTATAGCTTTCCAAAAGTGGGGCTTGTCATTGTAATATTACTGTAAATCATAGTCCTTAGTATTTTTTAACACTAAAAATATGTGCAGATACTATAAAAAGCATTTAGATTTTTTCAACTCTAACTTCTTTGTGGATTAGTGCCTATGTTCCTTAAATATTGTGAAAGCCACTATTCACTTCTGATCAAAGTAAATGATAATTTTGCCACTAAAGAGCATATATCTCTATTACTTTTTCAAATAATGGTATTTGGAAACTATTCAAAGCCTTTGGGGAGGAGAGGAAATTATACTGCCGTATTCAGTAAACATCGTATTTTAAAACTAATACAAAATACTCTAAGAACTGAAGAGTTTGGAAGATGACAATGATAAGGGAAGAAAAACTGATCTGGGCAAAGAAAAAGAAAAGCCCAATGTAAAAGCTGATTTCCTGGGTCTTTGTTCTAAATGTAAACTTCCTAACAGTTTGCTGGAATATTTTTACTGGCATTTGCTAGCATCATTCAAGAGAGTAAGTGTTGATACCCTATAGACTTTTCTGATGCTAAACATCATAGACGTTTTGACAGTGGCTCACTCCTGTTTGGTGTTCTTGTTTCTTTTTGTGCCTCTTTCTTCTGGTGCTGTGTTAGAATGGGCCAATGCCTAAAGAATTTCAGGTTGGAATGAAGCTGGAGGCCATCGACAGGAAGAACCCTTCTTTGGTGTGTGTGGCAACCATAGCAGATACTGTTGAAGATCGCTTACTAGTGCATTTTGACAATTGGGATGATAGTTACGATTACTGGTGAGACACCAATGTGTATTTTATTTTCTTGTGTTCATGTTTGCTGTTAAGAATTTCTTTTCATTCAAGCACTGTTGCTGTTCTTATTGTTTTTAAAGTTATGAACATCAGGAATTTAGTGGGTGACTTTTCACTACTTTCTCTTCTGCATGAATTGTTGAATTAAAGAGCCTGAGAAACTTCCTTCATTCCATGAGAGGTTACCTAATGAGGCCTCCCTCATATGAAATAATATGACCAGTTCAGGGCACTTCACTATATTTTGTCTAGTTTGTAAGGGAAACATTTTTGTGAAGAGCAAGTTAAGAACTTGCAGTATATTTTTCCTGAAAACTGTTGAACTCACCTATCATATTCTTAAAAGAGAAGATTCAGGGAGAATGAAGTGAAATATTTGAAAGCCCGTGGGGAGCAGAGAAAATCTATGCTATAATACCATTAAACTAACATTGCACGAGTTAAAAGGGTTTTCTGGGCAAAAAACAGAAATATGGAAGAAGGCATGGCAAAAATCATTTTTGCAGTCTTTCTTCACAGTGTGTCCTGCATAACCAGCAAGTCTCAGCCTGAGGCTGTGGTTCTTCATGTGCATGAATGAAGGGGACTCTGTTTTCTTCCTTGAACCAAGAAGAAGAGTATAGAATAATTGTCATATGTGTCTTAGGTGGAATAGCCTGTGTTCTTTGAAGAGGAGAGGGAACAAGTATGCAGTCCATATATATGGAGTCTGATTGGGCTGTCCTATTAAAATTTGGACTGGCCTATTAATATTTTCCTTGCTGCTAGCAAGAAGTGATAGAAGAGGTTTATTAAAATGTTCACTCTTTGGAGATGTCGCTGGCAGTTCAGATCCTAGTCAAATACATTTTTTGTGTGTGCTTTTAAATTTCAAGAAGATTATGTAAAAGAGAAGTTTGCTTACTCAGTTTATAAAATACAGTACTAAAAAATCGTTCTAATTCATTCTAGCTGTAAAATAATATTTTAGCTGTGAAGTAATATCTTCCATGGTATCCTTTAATTAATAAGCAGAATGTTCATTACTCTTTGATTTTTTTTTTCCTCTGACATTGAGTAAAATGGGATCTAAAATAGAATCCTGTTTCTGCAGGTGTAATGTAAATAGTCCTTATGTCCAGCCAGTTGGTTGGTGTCAGGAAAATGGAAGAACTCTGATAGCACCTCAAGGTGAGTGGCCATTCTTGTTTTCATTTACATAAACCATATTTCAATACAAAGTATATGATGTAAATACTGTACAAGGTTCTGTACCACCAGGTGACCTATATATCTGCAATCTCCATGTTCTTCCTCATAACAATAACAGACTTGTTTATAAAGGTGAATTGAGCACCATTAAAAAAAATTGCTAAAATATTTTATCCAACAAAATGAGTATCATTGCTGTGGATCAACATTTAAAACAAGCTATTTATAGCTACATAATTTATCTTATAACTTATGTTAATTCATTAATTGAACCATAAAATTATTAAATATACTTTACTTTGGAGTTCAGTGTAAGAAGTGTAGAAATCTAAGAAGTGAGAGTTAACAGTGAGTCTCCAGACTTGCCAGGCCCCTTCACCAAGCCAATTTAATGATAGGTAAGCACTGAACTTGAGACTCTTTTTAGTTATATTTTTCTTGTTACAGAAGTATTAAGAACTACTTTAGAGATTTGCTCTATCAAATCCATGTTTTTTTTCATTTTAAAATGAATTAGATATAGTGGCTGTGTAATCTTAACATTTTTAAAACAATATTCTGAGAGAAACCTATTTTCTTTCAATAAAAAATATATAGAAGATAAAGTAGGGATTATGCCATTTTAAACAGAGCAGATGTTTACCTTTTAATTTGAATGATTCTGGAATTTTGCTGTTTTTTAGATCTTTTCTCCCCTTAAGTATAGGGAAATATCAGGATTTCTCATCAATTTCTTGAGTTCAGTGAAAAAAGTCCAAGATTTAAAAACAACAAACAAGCCAAACAAAACAAAATAAACAAAAATCCCACAACCTACTCAAAAATATAGTCTTGAAAAGTTTTATAAAAATATATAGTATCTTCTCCAATTCTGATGCACAGATTTAGACTTGTTTATCCTATTTTTCTGTAAAATTGGCTAATGCTCACTTTAGATGATGTTCTTTATGATGAGGTGAAATGTTAGTCAGATCTCGGAATATGTGGTCTGAGTGGTTGTGCCTAAAGATACTGCACAGGCTCTTTTCCATTTTCCTCTGGTGAAATAACTTCTCTGCTGCTTGCAACTTGTTCTCACTAACTTCATGGATAAACTCAGTTTTTATGTCCATCACCCCTATCTGTTTGTGCTGTGTGAGTCTGGTAATAGGGTATGCAGCACATTAAGAATTGAAGGTCCAGAATCCTTCCATCATTAACATACACAAAGGATTGAGGAGAACAAACCTCCTGCACCCCAGATGAGGCCGAGGCTTAAGGGCCTGGTTGGATGTGAATGGAAGACTATTTAGTGTAAAAAGTAGCAACACAATTCAATCCAGACTTTTGGTTTTCACTGTAGAATTAATTGCTTATGTAAATATTCTCACCATGCTGAAATCTGAGTGATAGTTTTAACCAGACTAACTTAGTAATAGAAATTTTCTACTATGAGGTCAGATTATCTTCACTAGGAGTTAATTTTAAAATTCTGAAGAGATTTTTGTCCTGATATACAATGTTTAAATTAGAATCTTACAATTAACCTACCCCTAACCTTGCACGCTTATTAGTATTCCTTTTACAAATTAAAAAGTGTTTTTGTAGACTAAAATACTGGCCATCCAGCCCTAATTCATATGAAAATACATTGTTTCTCTGTAGTATATTCTTTATCCACTCTTTTTTTCTATAATTCATATGCTATCATTTTCATCATTTAGTGTACATTTAGTACTTTTTAGTGTAAATTGTTTAGTGTAAATTCAATGGTTGTTAGTATATTCATAAGGTTGTGCAACCATCATCACTTTTTATTGCCAGAGATTTTTATTACTCTCAAAAGAATATCATACCCTGCCCCCAGCACCTGTTAGTAGTTACTCCTCATTCTCCTCTCCCTCTCAGGTGATGGAAAACACTAATCTACTTTATGTTTCTATGGATTTGACTATTCTGGACACTGCATGTAAATAGAATCATAGTCTGGCTGCATTCACTTAGCATAATGTTTTCAGCATGTATCAGTACTTCATTCCTTTTTATTTACAAATAATGTTTCGGTGTATGGATATACTATCTTTTGATCATGTATTCATTAGTTTAAGGGCATTTGGTTTTCATCTCTTGACTTTATGAATAATGCTATTATGAACTTTATTGTTTATTTCTCTTGGGTATAATGCTAGAATGACTGAGTCCTGAGGTAACTCTGTGTTTGAGGGATTGCCAAACTGTTTTTAAAAGTGGCTACATATTTTTTTACACATATAAAAGTTCCAGTTTCTCCACATCCTTACCAACACATTTTATTGTCTATCTTTTTAATTACGGCCATCCCACTGGGTGTGAAGCAGTATCTCTTTATGGCTTTGATATGCATTTCTCTAACGATAAATGATGTTGAACATCTTACCATGTGGTATTGGCCATTTGTACATATTCTTTTGAGAAATATTTATTCAAATCCTTTGTCCATTTTTAAAATTTGGTGCTATTTTTATTGTTTGTTTATTATTTAAGATTATTATTTAAATATTATATCAATTTACTATTCTTTATTAACATAAGAGTTTAAAAATATATTCTGGATATTAAACCCATATTGTATAAGTGATTAGAAAATGTTTTCTTCCATTTTATAGATTGTATTTTCACATTTTTGACAATGCCCTTTGATGTACAGTAGTTTTAAATTTTGAAGAACTCCTGTTTTTATAGTTTTAGCTCTTATATTTGAGGGTGATCCATTTTGATTTAATTTTTGTATATGAAGTGAAGTAGAGATTTGCCTACATTCTTTTGCGGCTGGTTATCCAATTCTCCCAGTACCATTTGTTGAAGAAACTGCTTTTTCCCATCAAATGGTCTTGACGCCATTGTCGAAAATCAGTTGGCCATAGATATTTAGATTTATTTCTAGACTCTCAATTCTGTTATATGCCTATCATTATTCCTTTATCACAGTTTTTTTTTAAGTTATTTTTTAGAAAAATTTTAAGTTCAGAGCACAATGCATGGTCTCCCCTGTTATCAGAATCCACCACTACAGTAGTACATTTGTTATAATTGTTGAACTGACATTGACACATGGTTATCACCCATTCTGTAGGTTTGACAAATGTATAATGACATGTGTCCATCATTGTGGTATCATACAGAGTATTTTCACTGCCCCCAAATCCTCTGTTGTCTGCCTAGTCATCTCTCCCACCCCCGTAAGCCCCTGGCAACCATTGATCTTTTTGCTCTCTCCATAGTTTGCCTTTTGCAGAGTGCCATATAGTTGGAATCATACAGTATATAACCTTTTCAGATTGGCTTCTATTAGGTAGTAATATGCATTTAAGTTTCCTTCATGTTTTCTTATGCCTTGAGAGCTTATTTCTTTTTAGTGCTGGATAATATTCCATTGTCTCTATGTACCACAGTTTGTTTATCCATTCACCTACTGAAGGACCTCTTGGTTGTTTCCAAGTTTTGGCAATTATAAGTAAACCTGCTGTAAACATTCATTTGCAGATTTTAGTGTGGACATAAGTTTTTAGCTTTTTGGGTAGATATCAAGGAGCATAATTGCTAGATCATATGGTAAGAGTATGTTTAGTTTTGTCAAGAAACAGCCAAACTGTCCTCCAAAGTGGCTGTACCATTTTACATTCCTACCAGAAGTGAATGAGAGTTTCTGTTGCTCCACATCCTCACCCGCATTTGGTATTGTCAGTGTTTTGGATTTTCAACATTGTAATAAGTGTGTAGTGGTAACGTTGTTTTAATTTGCATCTTCCTGATGACATGTTTATTTGCCATCTGTGAATCTTCTTTGGTGAGGTGTCTGTTAAGATTTTTGGCCTATTTTTAAATTAGGTTGTTGATTTTACTATTTTCGAGCTTTAAGAATTCTTTGTATATTTTGAATTAGTCCTTCATTGTATTTTGCAAATGTTTTCTGCCAGTCTTTTCATTCTCTTGACAATGTCTTTAACAGAGAAGGGATTTTTAATTTTAATGAAGTCCAGCATATAAATTTCTTTGATGAATTATACCTTTGGTGTCATATTAAAAAGTTAGCACCAAACCCAGAATTATCTAGGTTTTTTTCCTATATTATCTTTTAGGAGATTTATAGTTTTGCATTTTACATTTTAGATCTGTGATCCATTTTGAGCTAATTTTTGTGAAGAGAGTAAAGTCTCTGTTTGGATCATTGTTTTGCATGTGAATGTCCAGTTGTTCCAGCACTATTTGTTAAGATTACCTTTACTCCATTGTATTTCTTTGTTCCATTGTCAAAGATCAGTTGACTGTATTTATATGGGTCTATTTCTAGGCTCTCTATTCTGTTTCATTGATCTATTTGTCTATTCTTTTACCAATACTATACTGTCTTACTTACTGTTGCTGTATAGTGAGACTCAGACCATGGATAATGCCAGTCCTCCAATTTGTTGTTCTCTTTTGATATTGTGTGAACCATTCTGAGTTTTTTGCTTCTCTACATAAACTTTGGAATCAGTTTGTCAATATCCATAAAATAACTTTCTGGGATTTTAATTGGGCTTGCAGTGAATCTGTAGATCAAGTTGAGAAGAACTGCCATCCTGGCAATATTGAGTTTTCCTATCCACGAGACATGGACTATCTATTTAGTTATTTAATTTATTTCAGCAATTTCGTAGTTTCCTTTTATAGATCTTGTACATATTTTGTTAGGTATTATATTTATTTCATAATTTTGGGTGCCAACGTAAATGGTATTATGTTTTAATTTAAAATTTCACTTGTTCATTGCTGATATGTAAAAAAGCAATTTAATTTTATACATTAACCTTGTGTCCTGCAGTTTTGTTGCAATTGCTTATTAGGTCCAGGAATTTTATGTCGATTCGTTTAGATATTCTACACAGTCATCTGTGAACAAAGTTTTATTTCTTCCTTCCCAATCATTATTCCTTTTATTTTTTTCTTGTGTTATTGCACGAAACTCCTTGTTTTGATTA